TAGTTTAAGTCTTTGGTTCTTTTAATTGTGATGATTTTGGCTCACATTTAACAAAAACCCACCAATTCACTATCTCAACAAATTAGAATACTCCATAAGACCAATAAAAAAAATTTTTTTTAGTGAATTGTTGGCCTTCTGGAAAGTATGTTAATTTACTGTACATGTACTCAATACTTGGAGGGGGTTCCTTTTGCTTTAATTACTGCCTCAACTCGGCATGGCATGGAGGTGATCAGTTTGTGGCACTACTGAGGTGGTATGGAAGCCCAGGTTTCTTTGACAGTGGCCTTCAGCTCATCTGCATTTTTTGGTCTCTTGTTTCTCATTTTCCTCTTGACAATACCCCATAGATTCTCTATGGGGTTCAAAAAATTACCTCAAGTTAGCATCAGGTAGCTAGTTAGCTAGCCAGTTAGCATCAGCTAACAAAATGTTTCAAATAATTTTGAAATTCATAATTATTGATTATATTATTTAAAATTTTAAGCAAAAACCGTCTGTACTCTGATTTTGCTGTAAATGTTTAAAGCAAATTGCTTTGTCAGACTGGGGGGCATTTTACCCCACCCATGGGGCCGTTTTGCCCCATTGGTGGGGTAAAACGCCCCCTTGCTACAAATTTATTTTTTGTTAAAAATCCAATAACATAAAAACTCTGGGCATTTTATATACTTTGTTTATAAGTTATGTAATTGTCACTAAAACTATGATAAATTTTCTGAACACATTTAACTTTTGTTTCACAGAAGAAAAAAAATACACACTCCTTAAGGGGGGCGTTTTCCCCCACTCTACCCTATACACAACACAGGCAAATTATGTTTTTGTTTTTCGCATAGGATTGTTAGTATGCAGTATGGTTTATTCTTAAAAACTATTATGCCTTTGTCTGTAGGCTATCTTACACAAACGGAACTTGTTACTGCTTAGACTTTAAACCGCTGAGTAAAAGTCAATATTTCAGTCACTAGTGTAATTGCAGCATCCAAATAAAAAGTGAAAGAAGGTTAGACCATAACTTTTGTTCCCAATATGAATAAAAACTTTACTGGGGCTCCATGACATTGTTAGATATAGTTTATGTGTATCTATCAGATGAATACACATACTGTACATGTGCTTGTACAGTGACATCCACATTGGTGCAGATAGCCTCGTGGGCAGCACGTCGACATGTAGCGCTGTTGCACATCGGGCGTCCCATGTTCGAATCCCAACTCGCCAATCTTTACCAATCCTGTCTAACTACTGTTCTATCAAATTAAAGGGAAAAAGACCCCCAAACAAAAAATTGTATATCACATATTGTCGTCTAGGTGTTGTATAGAAAAAGGTTAACTGCTTTGTCTTGTAAGATGACTTTCTGTGTGGAGTTTGCATGTTCTCACAGTCATTGTTGCTTTCAACGCTTGTTAAATATAAATGTTAATTTCTAATTTGAGACTGTACAAATATTATATGCTTGTCCTTGTGTATCCACAGGTTCTCACTCACTGATGGCTTTGGCAACATATATAGTTGGAAAAACACAATTTCCCGAGTTTAGTGTTGTGGTGATGTTGGATGATGTGCAAATAGCATATTATGACTCAACCACATGGAGCATTTTCCATTGCAGTGAGAGTGATTCAAACTACCATGATGAAGAGCAAAATGATGGTGATGCAATATTTCGTGATGTGTATAACAGCATGAAAAATCGAGCATTTTATCTTAAGGGACACTTAAATCACACAGACGGTGAGAGCTCTAGCCTCTATAACAGTATTAACACAGAAAACATTTAATAACAGATGTAGCTTCTATGTATTGTTATTTTCTTGAAAGATTTAGATGTAGAATTGAGAAAGCAACGTACTAGAGAGAATAATCATAAAAAGTCATTTTATGTTGTGCAATATTGTGAATATGAATATGATGAATAAAGAGTGTCTAATTTCTTTCCATTCATGTGAAGGTGTTCAAGTTCTTCAGAGACTTGCTGGATGTGAACTGTTGAACTATGATAAACCAGGTCCACTACATTCCTCGGATGGTTTCAGTGGACAAAATATGGAGGAGTTCACTTTTGACATGGAAAAACATGATATTCAGATGAAAATGCCATGGATGATAACATGGAACCAACTAAAATGGCTTAGTGTAAAGTTTATGTATGAAAATGTTTATCATCCTATTTGCATTAAAGTTCTGAGGCGGTATCTGAATTTAAAAAAGAACAACGATGAGAAAAGGTGAGAGAATTACTAGAATAAATAGAAAAGAACATGACTGACAATTCATGAGTGCTGCAAAAAAAAAACTAAGAGTTTTTGCAACAATTTTTGTACTTCTCTGTAGTGAAACCCAGAGTCAGACTCATGAAGAAGACACTCTCAGACTCTCAAGGGCTTCAGATCAGCTGTCTGGCCACTGGTTTTTACCCCCGTCACATTAACCTGACCCTGTTCAGAGATGGTCAGCCTGTGGATGATGATCAGATCACAGGAGGAGAGATTCTGCCCAACGGAGACGGAACTTACCAGATGAGGAAGAGTTTGGGGATCAGTGAAGAAGAGCTACGTGAGGAACATAAATACAACTGCACAATGAAGCACCTCAGTCTGCACAACAAACTGGACATTGCATATGGTAAATAAATAAAACAATCAACAATTAATCAAATAAAACTTGCAGGCCCTTATGAACATTCTATGTGGCACCAAAGAGGAGCCAAAAAAGACACACAATACATCTGGCATACACATGAAGGACAAATTGTTGCACCAACTTCACTTTTCAATATTCTCA